AAAAAAAAAAAAAAAAAAAAAAAAAAAAAAAAAAAAAAAAAAAAAAAAAAAAAAAAAAAAGAAGGGACAAGGAAGTAACTTGCACAGTTTTCATAAGGGAATTATGTACCTTCAATATTTTGATTGTATTGATCTAACTCTTGAATGTGGCACTGGTTGAAGTGCACTCCTGTTGCATAGGATAGAACTTCAAATTGCACTGTACAGCATTTTAGTGTCTCGTGTGTGCTTTGCTCCAGCCGTGGGGAGTGCTCTTGTGTGTCCAGGCTCCTGTGGGAGGTGGGGGGGGGGGGAAGGTGTATCCCAGCACTCCCTGCATTTCGTGATAGCAGCACTGCGTGGTGTGTGCTCTGTGTCTGCTCACTGCTGCCAATGCAAGTGATGAGTGCACTGCTGTCCCCAACATCTGGAGTTGCTGTTTGGACTTGGCTGCTGCGCCAGCCTTGATTCTTCTTGTAAAAAATTGCAATAGCAGGGCTGGGAGTTGTGCTGTTTTAGGTGTGTGCTGTGCGTGTACAGAACCCCAGCTGCTGTGGCGTGGAATATACTGCAAAAATAAAAAAAAAAAAAAAGGTAACAACTCTGAGGAAAAAAAAGATCATGTTCAGCCATTCAGGGGGAGAAAAACAGATACAAAGCGGCTGTAAACTTTGCTGTAGATATGCTGAGAACATAGTAGATGTGTCTGTTTAAATTAAAATCTTGAAGACTAAAAAGTTCTTTAATTATAGTGCTGAATCTTTATTGGTGCGGCCCCTGCTTCCCACTGTGTGTGTTGTGACCTGGATGTGAGTTCTTGCCTGAAATTTTAGCTCTTTTCAGCTCATATGTGTTTTATTTCACAGCTGAACATGTTCTGCGATGGTAGAAGAAGGATGGAAGGAGAAGGTTGAGACCCTGAGGCTGTGAGTGGCTGGCAGAGCTCTGATAGCAAGGCTTTGGTCCTTGGACACCAGCTCTGCACATGGTGGATAAATAATTAGCTTGGCCAAGGTTTTCTGCTGGTGTTGATCTCTCCAAAGGAAGAGGGACAGGGGCACTCAAAGGGAAAGGGGTTTGGACTGAAGCAAAGCCCTGCAAGAAGGGAGATGGTGACAGGAGAAGGGGAAATGTTTTTAAACTGAAAGAGGAGATTTAGTTTAAATATTGAGAGAAAATTGTTCCCTGTGAGGGTGGTGAGGCCCTGGCACAGGTTGCCCAGAAAAGCTGTGGCTGCCCCATCCCTGGAAGTGTCCAAGGCAAGGTTGGATGGGACTTGGAGCAACCTGGGCTAGTGGAAGGTGTCCCTGCCCATGGCAGGGGCTTGGAATGAGATGGTTTTTAAAGTACCTTCCAACTCAAACTGTTCTGTGACCATGAAGTCCATCAGTAGACCTGGGGTCACAGTTACTTGTTGTTTTTGAGGGAGGTGGGGTGCACTTGCCAGGGGAAGGAACAAAAAAAGGCCAAACAGCTCTTGGGAAATGGAGGCTGGGAACTGTGGAAGCTCCTAGATCTCTCCCTGCTGGTGAGTCAGGAGTCTGGGAACCGCTGGGCTCTCTGTTTCCCTGCAGTGTCATCTGTGGTCTCTGCAACTCCTTGGGAAGGTGAGGAGTTTTTGTGGCTTCTGGTGTTGGAGCAGATGGAGGCTGGGGGTGTGTGTGCAGCCCCATGTGATAACACAGGGAAAGGTGCTGAAGGTTTTGATGTGAAATGATTGATTTTCAGACCCTCTTTTGGCAAAATGTTTCCGAAAGTCCCATCTGAAACAGAGTAGGTCTATTTAAAATACTTTCATCTGTGATCTGGCAGCCTGATCTGGGTTAGGCTTGATTTTGGGAGGGGAGGGAGAAAATGACTAGAGAATCATGGAATGGGTTGGGTTGGAAGGGACCTTAAAGATCATCCAGTTCCAGCCCTTGCCACGGGCAGAGACATCTTCCACTATCCCAAATTGTTCCAAGCCCTGTCCAACGTGGCCTTGGACATTTCAGGAGTCCATCTGACCAAGTGTTGAAATATGGATTTATTCAACTTTGGGTTTTTTGGAGACTGTTGGCATTTCTGTTTTGAAAATTCAAGTGTTTTTGTTTAGTGCCACTGCAGGACTCGCTTCTGTGCTGCCTGTTCTTCCCCTAAGCAGTGAGAGAAGACAATGAGGAGGATTTACCATTGCACACGGGCTGGAACTCGGTGATGCTGGGCTCTGTTGGCTGCTCACAACTTCCCCTGCTGTGGGAATGTCATGACAAGCCCCTGGCATTTGTCTTTCAGAGCTGGTGATCCTTTGATGTTCTGCTGTGAGGGTGTTGCTGATGGATTCAGATACTTTATCTGATGCTGCAGCTCAGCTAATGGAGGGTTTGCTCCTAAAGCTCCAAATCTGCTCCCTCCGTGTGTTAAAGTGCTGGCAAACAACCCAACCACTGCACTGAGCTGGGGAAACCCCTGGGATCAATCCAGGCTGGGGATGAACAGATGGAGCAGCCCTGGGGAGAAGGACTTTGGGTGCTGGTGGGGGAGAGGCTGGACATGCCCCAGCCCAGAAAACCCCCCCATGTCCTGGGCTGATCCCACAGCGTGGGCAGCAGGGAAGGGGGGGATTCTGCCCCTCTGCCCCCTCAGGTGAGACCCCACCTGCAGAGCTGCCTCCAGCCCTGGGGAACAACAGCACAAGGATGTGGAGCTGCTGGAGAGAGTCCAGAGGAGGCCCCAGAGATGTTCCGAGAGTTGGAGCCCCTCTGCTCTGGAGCCAGGCTGGGAGAGCTGGGGGTGTTCACCTGGAGAAGAGAAGGATCCAGGGAGACCTGAGAGCCCCTTCCAGAGCCCAAAGGGGCTCCAGGAGAGCTGGAGAGGGACTGGGGACAAGGCCTTGGAGGGAAAGGAGAAGGGGGAATGTCTTCCCATTGCCAGAGGGCAGAGATAGATGGGATATTGGGAAGGAATTGTTGGCTGTGAGGGTGGTGAAGCCCTGGCACAGGTTGTCCAGAGAAGCTGTGGCTGCCCCATCCCTGGAAGTGTTCAAGGCCAGGTTGGACACGTCTTGGAGTGACCTGGGCTAGTGGAAGGTGTCCCTGCCCATGGCAGGGGGTGGGAATGAGATGAGCCTTAAGATTCCTTCCAACCTACCCATTCTGTGATTCTGTGACACACAGACTCACTGTGGTACTATGAGTGCTACACCAGTCTTAAAAACACTGGTTTAGTTACTAAACTCAGGTTTGTTACAGCCTGTGGAGTTACATACCCTGTTTCTAGGACTGCACATCCCAGTTGGTACTGGCACCATCCAGGATGGTCTCTCTCTTGACATGAAAAACACTTGTGATGCCCCAGCAACATTTCCTTTTGGCTTGTAAATCCCTGATGATATGAAATAAAAACTTCCTGGCAGGAATAAGGGTTGCTTTAAAGTTTGGGGGTTTTGTTTTAAGCAGAGAACTGCTTGTTCCCTCTGTGCTGTGCTTCGTCTCCTCACCTGCCGTTTTTTGGGGTGCTTGGAGCATCTAAGCTGCCATGGCTGTATCCTGCATGGCTGGGGAGTCTGGAAGTCTGTGGATTAGGTGTGATGTAGGAACAGCCTGAGATCCCACTGGATCTGAACCTTTCTTCCTGAAGACTTGATGACATTGCTTCTGGAGTGGAGGATTCTCTCTGTTTCTTACTGGATGGTTTGGGTTGGCAGGGACCTTAAAGCTCATCCAGTTCCACCCCCTGCCATGGGCAGGGACACCTTCCACTATCCCAGGTTGCTCCAAGCCCTATCCAACCTGGCCTTGGACACTTCCAGGGATGGGGCAGCGACAGCATCAGTTATTTTGGGGACAAAGCAGTGAGTTAAATACAGGGCTCTGGTTTCTACAATTCCTCAGTTTGGGAAGGAGGGGGAAAAAAAAAAAAAGGAAGCTGTGCCTTCCTGGGAAATAGATTTTCCTCCACAGATCCTTAAGGGACACTTGCATAACATCCAGTACATGAAGTGTCCTGGCTGCACTGCCAGCACTTGGCAAAGCTGTCATCTCACAATTGGAAGGCTGTGGCAATGCTGAATTAAATAAATTCTGTTCTGTTCCTCTCCACCTCTTTTTCCTCCTCACTTGTGCTGGTCCGGCTGTTTGTGATTCCATGTGGCACAATGGATTGGAGAAATGGGTGGAAAAGTAACCCAGAGCAGAGGGAAAAGCCCTGCAGCTGAGTCAGCAGCTGTGGTGGTAAAAGTTGCAGCGATGCTTTTAGGAATTAAGTCACAGGGGAGTTTTGTAAGGGGAAATCCCACCTGACCTGCTGAAGCGAGTTCAGAGAAAGCCATGGGGATCTTCCAAGGGCTGGAGCATCTTCACTATGGAGACAGGCTGGGAGAGCTGGGGATGGTCACCTGGAGAAGAGAAGGGTCCAGGGAGACCTGAGAGCCCCTTCCAGTGGCTAAAGGGGCTCCAGGAGAGCTGGAGAGAGACTTTGGACAAGGTCTTGGAGGGATAGGACACAGGGAATGGCTTCCCACTGACAGAGGGTAGGGATAGATGGGATATTGGGAAGGAATTGTTGGCTGGGAGGGTGGGCAGGCCCTGGCACAGGTTGCCCAGAGAAGCTGTGGCTGCCCCTGGATCCCTGGAAGTGTCCAAGGTCAGGTTGGACGATGCTTGGAGCAATCTGGGCTAGTGGAAGGGTTCCCTGCCCATGGCAGGGGGTGGAACAAGACGATCTTTAAGGTCCCTTCCCACCCAAAACATTTTGTGATTTTATGGCTTAATGAGCTGTCATCTAAGATTGTCACTGCAGCTGGATCCTCGTGCAGACTGGAAGAACAATTCCCTTTTCATTTTTATTGTTTTAGGAACCAGCCTGGGGTTTGGGAGAGCGAAGTCCTGGTCCTGCCACCGCCACAGGATTGCTGGTGTCATCTCAAGTGAGTCACTTCACCAGGGAACCAAAGGGACAGCACATCCCTATGGCAAGAGCTTTGCTGTGTCTCCAGGTGTCCTGAAGGGCTGGGAAGAGCTTCTTTCCCTCAGCTATCCAAGCGCAGTGGGTGCAAGTTCAGCAAGAGCAGAGGAGAGCAGGGTGAGACCACAAAACCCCACAAAATGTGTGTGAGGGGGTGGGAGGAAGATCAAGCCTGAGGTTCTGGGAGAGGCTGTTGCAGAAAGCTTTGAACGAGCAGCACTTTTGGATGCCCCGTAGGAAAGGGGAGGAAAAAGGCAGTGGTGGAGAGTGGAGAGAGTGACAGGAACACCCTTAGAGCCACCATGACTGCCTAGGAGAGCATGGACAGTGCTTGTCTGCTGATGGAGATTCCCAGCAGCAGAAGTCATTCCCAACAAACCCTGGTCACCATCCTGGCAGTGCTCAGAGTCCCAGCATGGAGAAGTCCCTCACCACAGGCTGTGCAAAGGACCCTCAGGAATTTCCAGAAATTCCACCCTCCTGGAGGGTGGGAATGGTCTGGGGCTTCTGTTGGTCCTGGGTGATGCCCTGTTAAACTTGTTGCAGTTTTGGAACTGTTTGAGGCAGGAAGAAATGGGATCAACTGCTGAGGAATCAGATCCCTCAGGGACTGGCTGCATATGTTGCTCTCCAAATCAGGAGCATCCCTAAATCTGTAACCCAGCTGCTGTTCCAGGTTGTCTGAGTGAGGGAGATGGATAATGTGCTGGGAGGATCAAGCTGCTCCCCTTCTGAGTTAAAATCAGCCTTCTGCTGCCCTCTGTCCCTGTTTTCAGCTCCCTGGATTTCTTTCTGCTGAGAAACCTCAGCACCCACCCCATATCTGACTTTCCCTTCCCTCTCATTAATGGCCTGGAGAGGCAAGGCAGCTTGTTGCTCTTTTCCCCTTGATTTGCATTTCCAATATTCCCCCATTACTCTGTTACTGAACTTCAGGCTGTTTTTTTTGTGTTTGAAGTCTTCTGGACATGGATTTATATTAAATAAATAAATAAATAAATAAATAAAGAAAGAAAGAAAGAAAGAAAGAAAGAAAGAAAGAAAGAAAAAGAAAGCCAGACAACAAACAAACCCAGAAAACCTTAAAATCCAGATAACAGGAAAAATATAAACCATACAAACTTCTCAGTAGCCTGTAACCCTCTCTCTCTCTCTCCCTGGAGCATTTTTTGGGGGGCATGCACAGAGATTCTCTGAGCAGGATTGGAACAAGCTGGCCAGGGAAGCAGTGGAATTGCCCTGGAAGTGTTCAAAAGGTATGTGGATGTGGTACTTGGAGACATGGTTTAGCCATGGCCTTGGCAGTGCTGTGAGAACAGTTGGGCTCAGTGATCTTGGAGGTCTTTTCCAGCCTAATTCTAGGATACACACAGGTGAGGACTGTCATAGAATCACAAAATGGTTTGGGTTGGAAGGGACCTTTAAGGGCATTTTGTTCCAACCTCTTGCCACGGGCAGGGACACCTTCCACTATCCCAGGTTGCTCCAAGCCCTGTCCAACCTGGCCTAGTGAGCTCCAAGGCTGTGCTGACCAAAGACACCCAAGGTGTCTTTGCTGCCCACACTAGTGCTCACTGGGTGGGAGGATCACCCACAGCTGGTTGCTGGAATGGAACATCCACGCTGCTGAGATGCCATCACCCATCTGGGCTTGAGTTTTCTTCCCTTTAGGATTTTCTGCCTTCCCATATGGATGGTTTTACTCTTGCCCCCTGGAGCTGCTGCCATCGCATTGACATTCCTACCTCTGCCCTCGGTTTCACCTTTCTTATCTCCCAGGGCTCTGTGCTCTTTCCCATGAGCTGGCAACCTCCTCGGCTCTGGGAGGAGGGTTTTCCAACTGGGCTGTATCAGGGAGGCCTTGGATTGCAGCTGAACCCAGAGGACAGGGCGGTTCAGGGCCAGCTTTCTGCTCACTCATGATTCTGTGCCAGTTTAATTCTCCAGGTGTTGGCTCAGTGCTGGAGGAGGGAATGGTTTATGGAACTGCTCCTGATCTGTGATGCTGGTCTGGAAGAGAACTTTACTCTGTGTCCAGGGCAGGGAACGGAGCTGGGGAAGGGGCTGGAGCTCCAGGAAGGCCTGAGGGAGCTGGGGGGGCTCAGCCTGGAGGAAAGGAGGCTCAGGGGGGACCTTCTGGCTCTGCAACTCCCTGACAGGAGGGGGAACAAGGGACAGGACAAGGAGAAACAGCCTCAAGTTGCACCAGGGGAGGTTCAGGTTGGATATCAGGAGGAATTTCTTCATGGAAAGAGTTTTTTAACAACAGAAGGGGCTGCTCAGGGAGGTGCTGGAGTCTCCATCCCCAGAGGTGTCCAAGGAACGACTGGACATGGTACTCAGTGCTCTGGGCTGGATGACAAGGTGGGGATTGTTCACAAGTTGGAGTTGATGATCTTGGAGGTCTTTTCCAAGTAAATCATTCTTGGATTTACATTGACCCAGCTGAGCAGATACAGCAAAGCCCTGGGTGCTCCAAGCACATCCTTCCTGAGCAGAAAACACTCTTTTCGTCCACTCTCTGCACTCTCAGGGTCGTGGGGACAACAGGATCTTTGTTTTTTCTCTCTGCAGCATTCCAGGTGACTGTGCCTGCCCTGACTGCAGGGCTGGGCTGGATGCACAGTGCCCTTCCCTGGAGCAGCCATGGAGTCCTGGCAGAGGCTCTTGCCTTCCATTTGGTGGCAGACGACTCAGCCTGGAAAAGGGATTGCTGAGGTGATGATAGGATGGAAGTCTGAGATATATTGGCCTGGAGAATCATTGGAGTGACAAGATAGGTGAGGTTGAAAAGGACCACTGGCAGCAATTCTTCCCTGTGAGGGTGGTGAGGCCCTGGCACAGGTTGCCCAGAAAAGCTGTGGCTGCCCCATCCCTGGAAGTGTCCAAGGCCAGGCTGGACAGGGCTTGGAGAAACCTGGGCTAGTGGAAGGTGTCCCTGCCCATGGCAGGGGCTTGGAATGAAATGATGTTTAAAGTCCCTTCCAACCCAAACCATGACTCTGTGGAGTCCGACCCGGCTGCTGGTGGCCTTTGAGGCACCGCAGAGGGTCAGATGACTCTTTAATTTGACCTTTTTTTTTGCACATGCTGCTCAGTCTCTAGCAGACAGTGCTGACTCTGCTGACACTCCTCGGCTTTGCCTCTCCGGGGGCATTAACTGCACTTTTTCAAGGCTCTGCGGTGGAACAAGAGACTTCTTTGTGTTAATTTTCCTCCTGAAGCTTTCCCTCTTTTCAAGAGGTACAGCTGGTTTGGTGAATGGTGCTTAACAGTCCTTTCAAACTCAATTAGGCACTTGGGAGCCAGGAGTTGTGAGCACTCGGCTTCCATAGCCAGCAAAGGATTTTCCCTTCTGTTACAGCGCGATTTTCCAAGATTTCCAGACTCTGTGAGCTGAGGTTTTAGTAACTGGCCATTTGTTCGTGTCTGGAAGCCTTGAGAATAGTGGCCAGCCCTGCTTTGTTTGCTCTCTGAACTTTGAACGATTTCATTCATTTTTCATTCATTTTTCATTCATTTTTTAAGAGAAGGGGAAAAAATAAAATTAAAAAATAACATCAAAAAAT